ATTATCCTTATTTTAAACTGAATCAGTTCATCAGAACTGCTGCAGGTGCATTCAATGTTTTAATTTCATTAAACACTTACACTTCATACAAAACATGCTTTATTCTCACATGGATGCAATAAAAACTATTTTATCATATAAAAGGTGTTAAAGATAGAAAACTAAATTAATTGAACAAACAACACCAATAATAAAAGAAAATAATTAAATAGACCAGCTGACCATAGGGCCCTACCTGGTGTTAGACGTACATATTAAAATAAAAAGTGAAATCCATAAAAGACCAAATTTCGTGCTAAAACAAACGCAACGCACTTTCGTTGAATACAAGTGGAACGCGCAAAAGCCGCGCACAAAAATGTTTGATGCTCTCCATTTAGGAAAATACGTCGAAATTAACGCCAAAACCATATTTAATGGGAAAAATAGTATTATTTTAATAAGGTAAATATGATTTAATAAAACAAAAGTAGAAAAAAAAGGTTGTAGAACCACAGCAAAGCACTTCCGATCTCGCTCCACGCAGCGCAGCGCTGAGGTGAGCGCGCGGAACAACAACCATCCTGAAAATGATGCTTTACTGTTGTCTGCAGGAGAGCGCACTGACATTAAAGTGAAAGGTTTGTTTTGTGTGTGGAGCCAGGAGCAGAGAGCAGCTCCGTGATCCCAGCTGCTGCTGCTGCTGAGGAGGAGGACGGCTGGCTCTCTCCTGCAGGACCGTCTCCCTCTCACTGCGCTCTGATTGGCTGCTTCCACTGACAGCTCCGCACATGATTGCAGGAGGAGAAGCCCGACCCCCTTTCACTCTCGCAAAGGAACCATTCATAAACTACACAAATCCAGCTCAAAGCTGAGAGTGGACGAAAAGTGAGCGGTGGGGCTCAGGAGAAGCACCGAGAAGAGGAGATGAGGGCTCACCCACGGTGGGTTTAAGTCTTTGGACGCGGAGGGTGACCCAGAAACCTGAATATGAATCTTCTCAAGTCACACTGGAAGTGCTCATGAGTAGGGACTGAGATTTAGCAGGGTACGTTGCATCCTTATCCGTTTCCTCCTCCTCAGACTGACGTCTATCCGCTGCTGAAGCAAGAAAAAAAAGTGGGGGGAAGAAAAAAAAAAGTTTGCACATTTTTCCTACACTGGAAGCTTGCCTCTGGCTTTACCGGTAAGCATTGGATCCGTCAACTTACTGCGACTCTCCGGTGTACAGCCCGGACCTCTGCCCAAACATGATCGCGACGCAAGCCAAGCTGGTTTACCAGCTCAACAAATACTACAACGAGAGGTGCCAGGCGCGCAAAGCGGCCATTGCGAAAACTATAAGGGAGGTTTGCAAAGTGGTGTCGGATGTCCTTAAAGAGGTGGAGGTGCAGGAGCCCCGCTTCATCAGCTCCCTCAGTGAGATAGACGCGCGCTACGAGGGGATGGAGGTCATCTCCCCCAACGAGTTCGAGGTGGTGCTGTACCTCAACCAGATGGGGGTGTTCAACTTCGTGGATGACGGCTCGCTGCCCGGCTGCGCGGTGCTGAAGCTGAGCGACGGCCGCAAGCGGAGCATGTCGCTGTGGGTCGAGTTCATCACCGCCTCGGGCTACCTCTCGGCCCGGAAGATCCGCTCCCGGTTCCAGACCCTGGTGGCGCAGGCCGTGGACAAATGCAGCTACCGCGACGTGGTGAAGATGGTGGCCGACACGAGCGAGGTCAAGCTGCGCATCAGGGAGCGGTACGTGGTGCAGATCACGCCCGCCTTCAAGTGCACGGGGATCTGGCCTCGGAGCGCGGCGCAGTGGCCCATGCCCCACATCCCGTGGCCCGGGCCGAACCGGGTGGCCGAGGTGAAGGCGGAGGGCTTCAACCTCCTCTCCAAGGAGTGCTACTCCCTGACGGGGAAGCAGAGCTCGGCGGAGAGCGACGCCTGGGTGCTACAGTTCAGCGAGGCCGAGAACCGGCTGCTGATGGGCGGCTGCAGGAAGAAGTGCCTGTCCGTGCTGAAGACCCTGAGGGACCGGCACCTGGAGCTGCCGGGACAGCCGCTCAACAACTACCACATGAAGACCCTGCTGCTGTACGAGTGCGAGAAGCACCCGAGGGAGACGGACTGGGACGAGGCTTGCCTCGGAGACCGACTGAACGGCATCCTGCTGCAGCTCATCTCGTGCCTGCAGTGCCGCAGATGTCCCCACTACTTCCTGCCCAACTTGGACTTGTTTCAGGGAAAGCCTCACTCAGCCCTGGAGGCTGCTGCCAAGCAGACTTGGAGACTAGCGAGGGAGATCCTCACCAACGCCAAAAGTTTGGACAAATTATAAAGCGGCTGCGAGAGCCGAGAGACACATTTTGGGATAAGATGATAATAATAATAATAAAAAGAAAAACTTAGCTCTGCAAATGAGTCTCCAAAAAATGTGAAAAAATTGCTGTAAAAAATGCAGCAATAACAAACCCGGAGGCAAAACCTTTTTTGGGGAGAAAAAAACAAACCGTGGAGAATTTGGGCCACTTCCAGAGACAAAGTGAAGGTACATTTTCAGATAAATGTAACACATTTCCGTTGTCTTCTTTAAATGTTTTCACAAAGTGAACAACCTTTTTTATTTAAATATATGCACAAAATCGTTAAGTAAAACAAGAAACTGTAGCGTGCCAAGTTCTTTTTTTTCTTTATGTGACTTAAGAGCAAATGTTAATAAAATGTTGGAAATTAAATTAAAACTTGGCCTCGTGTTTTGACACAATATGTTGCATTTTTATCCCATTTAACTCATGAGAAGAATCAAAACAGGTCCTTAAATTCTAGGAGGGAATTGTAAACGCATGTCAACACTGGAATGAGAGCAGAAAAAAAAAAACAAAGGCTTTGTGGGAATTTGAAAATGCAGCAACACTAGGCCATCAGCTGTGTTTCCAAAAGCCTCACAGAATCAGGGGGAGGATTCCAAATAAATATGGATTTATGTTAACATGAACCTCTGCTTTCTGCTGAAACTGCAGCACAAACAAAGCAAGATCTTCAATCTGATTATTTAATTTCAATGCATTTCTTATTATGACACTTCCGCCGGCATGTTTGTTTTGAAGAATTGGAATAAAACAATTTTTTTCTTTAGTTAAAACTGATTTAAAAACTTAGAGTGACGTGCTACAAACACATGTTC